CATCAGGATTGTTTCAAACTCCATAGGTAAATCATCCGAGCATGCATCATGCGTGAAAAAAATCATAGGATGGTAATATACCTGCCTGGAAGTGAACTCTTAAGTCACATTGGGTGAAGATTCATGTTTGATATTGGTGCTGCGCCGGATCGCCTACAAAATTAGGAGAGTCGAATTTTTTGAAGAGGGAATTTTTCATTTCCTAGTGACGTTTCGGGATATGGGAGACTGTCCTATATGTCAAACCCGAAGCATCGTTTGGGATTCTGATCCAAGCTGGATACAGGGAAAACATTCAATGTAACCACCGATCAACAGGAATAAAAGTTTAGCAGCAGTCAAGAATGTGCTAGATTGGTTTTGGCTTCCAATCAATCAACTTGAGTGCGATGGGAAGATAGCAAAAGCCATTCCAAGTCGCGGGTAAACGTGGGACAGGCCTCACAGTGGAGGGGAGGCAAAGGGTACTGACGGACGTGAACGATGAGGTAACTATCCAATTGAAAGAGGGGGGGTCAAATGGATGAGACTCGAGTTGAGACGTTCATATCCTACAGAAGAAGCCCATCAGCATGTGCTTCAAACCTCTTGAATACTCACAGCTAAGATATTTCCAAAAGGAGTTTGCTGCAGTTGGTAAACAACTTTCAACATGGTTTCGTAAAATATTCTGGCTTGTGTAGTTAGTTTTTAGTTCAATGCCAAGCACACATAAAGGCTAAATAAGTAAAAGTTCCAATTGCCGCATCCACTCCTTTAATCTATCCTGAATGTGGTAGATCGCTGACGAACTAAATAGCCAAGTGTGCGAGTTGCCGCGACTAAGGCTTTGTTTATGCATGACGGGTGTGGTCAACACACCAATAATGTGTGGGCAAAATGGTGGTTAATTCCGACCAATATTAATATTGATATGGTACTACAACACAGGGGAAAAAAAAGGAAGTTGAAAATGCCGAGCCGGCCATATCAAAGCTTGACGTGACGAAAGTTAAGCCAATTGAAAAATTGGCTAACCCAGAATAAAATTGGTGATAAGGTCCTGCCTCTAGGATTGCTCTGATTTATGATAGTTAATATTGATCAAGACACTTTTTCGAACCTCGTTGATCTGGCACCCGAAAGAATGATAATGGGATCCTGTGCCCTCTTTTCCTTGCCTCTTCCTGACCAGATGGCTTGCGGCTGCAAAACGAGATATTAGTGAAAAAGTTGGTATGAACATCAAATGACCAACCTTGTGGAGGGAAGAATTATAAGAAATGCATTAATACTTTGGGACCCGTATTACTGTTGACGCAGTCCACCCGATTGTTCTCCGCATTTTTCAGAAACCTGCTTACACCCCGGAACTAGCTCCGTTGAAATAAAGATCTGTGACTTGTTGGGCTGTCTTGGTGCAACCAGGAACGCCCTCTGAGCCAGCAGTTAGGAGGCACTCTTATTGATAACACCAGACACACTGCCTTCTGAGTTTTTTATGAAACATTATGAATTTCTCAGAGCGATGATAGGTTATCCTGTATTAACCCCGGCGACCATCTTGATCTTCAATCTGTCATCGCTGAACCCGGCGCTTAGATGCGTCCTGGGACACCTCCGTTGAATTTGCACGTGTTTGGTAAGAATGGATCTAGATCCCGGAGAAACCATGATCTCCTTTGCTTGCTCTAGTGGCCTAACCCAGCAGACAAATTCCCCGGGGAGGTCCCCTCCGCAAGTCCGTTCGACTGCATGGTGATTTTGCTAGGATGTCCCCGGTACATTTCTTGCCTTCCGTTTTATGTTTATTGTATTATTTTATATATATTTTCTTTCCTTTTCCAACATAAGAACAAGGTTATGTCATATCCGTGGTGTAAATTGCTCCGGAGACCTACAAGTGATGCCGACCTCCTGCGGCCTTTTTTCAACCACCTCATCCCCATAAGGCCCCCGTTAAGGGTCGTAACGGTCCCGTGTGGCTGGAGTATACACCGACCAATGCACAACCGTGCATGGCTTTGCAAGGTGCATACAAGCTGGCGGTGGACGTAATTCTCGCAAACGCCACGGCTACGAATTGAAGCCATAGGACGCAAGACAAATACATTTCGAGCAAAAGGGACTATTGCGAACCCAACTGTGAAGGTCAAGGAGAACATAGCAATGCCTTCAAATGCTGTGGGAAGAATTGCAGGCCTCGTAGCACTGTAGCAGGCAGGAGGTGTGATCCATGAAACCTCAACATACTTAGTCCCGCAGGGGATACTCAGGTACGCAGCGGTGCTGGGAACTGCGTTTGTGGTCTGTGAGTACTGGGGATTGGAGACTGACAGGAATCACTATCAGTGATTATCTGTTGAGGAGCGTTGTTTAGTTCAACGGGTGGTTGAAGGGGAAAAGCCATGTATATAGGAACCAGCCTAGGCCCGATCGGTGCTAGAGGTAGGTAATGCTTGAAAGGGTATCAAAGGGTATCTGCAGGCTGCGGTATTTTAATAGATTGGATATTATTCCTCCTCCAGTATATAATTATAAAATATGGAGCACTGCGGGCAAATTTTTTGGAGTCAGACGTATATCTAAGAATTTGAATGATTGAGAGATAGATACCTAGGTAAGTAAACCTTTTTTCGTATGTGTCCAGACACTCTTTTTGAACCTACTCAGAAGTTTTATGTAGTTTAGGATAGTTACGTTAACTAGTGTACTTGACTAGTTATGTCATCCATACGTCATCTGTATGTGGAGTATTGCGTATGTATTCTGTATGTGTACGGTATTCTTGCGTGAGCAGTTGGTCTCTCGTTAGATGTCATTTTGTAATCCTATTACCAAATACCAAACCACTGATCTTTCTCAACCAACGGCTTTTTAAGCATCACAACAAACCACTTTTTCTTTCTCGTCCCTTTTTTATTTCCTTTTTTTTTATCTCCATTTACTTTTTTACCTGAAGGGGAATCGTGGAATCCTCACAAGGTAGAAACAAAACAAACAAAAAAGACAAAAGAGCAGCAAAGAAAAGAAAGGAACCTCTTTCCCAGCCTCTGTCCAGCGTCACCCTCGGCACGATACCAGCGTCTTGCTACTCTCTCTCGGCTGTCCAGCCCATCCCTGTTCAGTCTGCCTAACCTCCTCCAATAACATCGATCCACAGCCCTTTTCGCCGTCGTGCAGCCTTCTAAAATCTCATACTCTCAGAGACCTCCCAACACAGACGCCAACCCGTTCAACCACCACAGAATCCCTCACCTTCACCCCCCACCCCCCATCTCTCTCTTCTAACCGACGCGCTTGGGCAAGTGTGAAGTCCGTTGACATTGCTGCGGTTCCAGTCGACAGACTTCGATATACCTGCTTCTCATCCTCATCTCTTCCCTCTCATAAACCATGAGTGCGTGTGTCTCAAACTTCTCTTGTTCCGTCCTCCCCTTTGCGTAACTAGCTCAAATGCCCTTCTCGTTTCGCGTCTCCTTCGGACAGTCTGTTATGCAACAAATTCCCTTGACTTGTCCTGCTTCCCGATTCAGTTGCCTCGTCATGGCTGTGGCTGCGGGAACCTGAGCTTTCAATTATTTTTCAAAAACACAAGAAAGAAAGAAAAATTAATTAATAATTTTCAATTCCTTCCCCCTCCACCCCCAACCCCTCCTCCGCATATTCATTCTGTTTTTCGACGAGATACTTATATTTACCGTTATTATACCCATTATTACATTCTTTGACCTGTATTTCTCCGGGCAACAAGAAACAGCACCCAACCAACCTATTTCTGTCCCTGTATACGGAGTAATCAGGCCCTCCTCTTCCTTGCCGGGAACTTCTGTTCAAACACCCCACACCCTCTCCCCAGCCCTCCCATTCCCCTCCTTGATGCTTGGTGCCTCCAGAGTAGTCTCTTGTCTCCTCATTGTTGAAGCAAAACCTACACCCCTGGTCTTGGCTACACTGTCTGTTACTCCAGCTGCTTCTGGCTGCTGCACCTTGACTTCCACTACAGACTGCTCAGCAGCAACTCCATCACGCCTACTGCTGCACGAAATTCTTTTCTTCTCCTCTTCACTCTCTGGTTTTTCTTCTCTTCTCGTTCTTCTTCACTATTCTTATCCCATTCACTATTAGTAGCATCCCTCTTCTTTCTCCTCCTTATTTCTTTCTTGCGCATCTGTTTTATCTCGTACATCATTGAAACTAGAAGACCCTGACTCACGAATAATCATCCCGTTCCCAGGTGCAGCCGACGTATATCGACCGACCCAAGTAAGTCTATCCGTGCGATCTCTGCTTGAGAAAGTTTTTCCTTACCTCTTATCTGAACCACTATCCTCCCTACCTACAAAAGTCCCCTTCCCATCAACCGACGATACATGTGGCAAACGGGATAGTTGCAATGGCATTGGACATTGGAAGTAAGAGACCGTACCTAGATACATATGCAGCAGTGAAAAACAGGACGCACAATGCTGCTGCGTTGGGGGTGGGAGATGAATTATGGCATGGGCGGCCAGAGGGTTTTCCCAAACGGGGTAGTCCGTCAACTTGCCCAGGTGCAGAGCCTCATCCCGCCCTTTTTTTTTTTTTTTTTTTTTTTTTTTATATATTTTCCCCCCTTCTCCCTGCTCCCATCGTTTGCGCATCGTTTCTATCGTCTTGTATTGTGTCCTCTCCTATCTCAATTGCCAAGGATCTCTCTTTTCCTGTCTGTTGTGGTTTTTTTTTTTTTTTTTTTTTTTTTTTTTTTTTTTTCGCGCCCTTTATTTATGCCTCTCCGCCTTGGACGAGACCGCGGTTGCTGTCGCCGGTATCTTGGTAACTTTATTGCTCACGTGGTTGCCACAAACAGCCAATTTCAAAGTTCACGTCAACTTCAACGTTTTCACCTTCTTCCCACCCCAACCAACCTCTAATTCTCTCCCTCTCCCTTTGTCGCATTCTAGCCAGTGTGTGCGCTCTTAGCCGCTCCACTCGCTATTATTTGTGCTTCACCTCATCAATAGGCTCTGATCGCCTGTGTGATGGCTAACTACTTACAGCGCGAGAGGTCCCGTTCTCCACGTCGTCGTTCCCGTAGTCCCCGTCGCGGCCGTCGTTCCTATTCACCTCGCAGTCGTTCACGCAGTCGTGACGACTATCGTCGCAACGATCGTCGATCCAGATCTCCTGTGAGTGGCGCAGCTGGCGCTCCTGGAGGACATTCAGCCTCTGGTTACAGTGGACGTAACCCTTCTACTCGTTCTTACGAGGACCGTTCATTCGCCAAAGAGCAAATGATGCAAGCAGTTCGCGAATCTTCCCAACAGGACCGTCGGGTCTATGTTGGGAATTTGTCCTATGATGTCAAGTGGCATCACCTTAAAGATTTTATGAGACAGGGTAAGCCGTCTGCATCGCGTTAAAAGCCAAAATCTACCTCCAAACCCGGGAATAAAAGAAACAAAACTGACTGTGTCGGTGTGATTCGTGATGTTTTAGCTGGAGAGGTCCTCTTTGCCGATGTCTTACTTCTTCCCAATGGAATGTCGAAGGTGGGCGTCAACGTGTAGCTGCGGCTGGTTTCCTGGTTTTCTTTATGGTTATTTTGATGGACGTTGGATTGACGGGTAGGGGTTCGGCCATTCGGATAATGTAGGGCTGCGGGTAAGTGACAATCATTTTTCTTAGATATATCTCGTTATTACGGTTCCCGTGTTGGAAGTTGGTCTAACCTGGCTTGGTGATTAGGATTGTGGAATACGCAACGAGGGAGCAGGCTCAAAACGCTGTAGCGACTCTCAGTAACCAAAATCTCATGGGTAGGCTTGTTTACGTTCGCGAGGTAGGGACCATTTTATCCCATATTTACCCAAGAAACTCCTTACATCACTTTTTTAAGAACTGACAATGCATCCTCGCTTTCCAACATCCATAGGACCGTGAGGCAGAACCTCGTTTTACTGGTGCTCCTTCCCGTGGTGATTTCGGTGGTCCAGGACGCGGAGGCTATGGCGGAGGCTATGGCTCTGGCTCCGGCGCTGGTGGCAGTCGACAAATCTATGTCTCCAACGTTTGTTACCCATCTAACGCATTCTCCATCCCCGGCCCCCCATCTTTACTGCGCCTCCCATTTTTCATCCCCTTAAATCACATCCACATCAACCATCCAAATTCTCACACACCACACACCCGATTCGTTGAACATTGGACAATTAACTTAGGCAACTTCTTTCCGTTTCTTTAGCTTCCTTTCAGCGTAGGCTGGCAAGATCTGAAGGACCTGTTCCGTCAAGCTGGTAAGTCTCGGTCTATTTAAAACTCCCCTATTAAAATTTTCGTCCATCCGTGATATTTGTTTGTATTAGGGGAGAGTTCTTTTGTATTGATAAATTACCCACATTGGCAGCCCAGCAAGGTGCTGTTGTCCGCGCCGACGTGCACGTTGATCCCAGCGGCCGCCCGAAAGGTTCTGGAATTGTAGCATTCGAGAGCGCAGACGATGCGCGAAATGCTATTCAACAGTTCAATGGGTATGACTGGCAGGGTCGAACTCTTGAAGTCCGCGAAGACCGTTTTGCGGGATTGGGCCCAGGGTTTTCTGGACGTGGTGGTTTTGGCGGTGTTGGTGGCCGCGGTGGATATGTAGGCGGTCGTGGGAGCTTTGGTGGTGGTCGCGGTGGTGGTTTTGGCGGCGGTTTTGGCGGGCGCGGGGGCGGATTTGGAGGAAGCTATGGTGGTGGCCCGGGTGGTGGGGCAGCGGACGGTGGTGCATCAGTTCCTCCAAATCCATTTACGGATTTCGCAACCTCTGGTGGAGAGAGGAGTGCCATCATATTTGTCCGCAACGTACGTCTTCAACCATACCGTTCTAGAGATTTGTCGTTTGTTTTGTGTGCTAACAGTGGAACTCTAATGGCAACAGCTCCCTTGGTCTACATGCAATGAGGATCTGGTCGATCTCTTTTCGACAATTGGTAAAGTTGAGCGAGCTGAGATCCAGTATGAGCCCAACGGTCGCTCTAGGGGTACTGGGGTTGTCGAGTTCGATTCAGTTGAAAATGCCGAGACTGCTATAAGTAAGCTTTACCTTGCTCACCACTCAATTTCACTGCTCATTTCCCTATTATGAGCACGCACACCACGAACGCTTTTACATCGAATCGGACCTGCTGACAATAACATACAGACAAGTTCACGGGCTACCAGTATGGAGGCCGCCCTCTCGGTCTGACTTTCGTCAAGTACCTAAACAACGGCTCCTCGGATGCCATGGAGGGAACAGAGGCGACGGGTGGTCTTACCCAAGACCAGATCATGTAAAACCTTGGTATCAACGTGGGAAAAGTCAGCTGCTGCACATTCGCCTCTTTTTCCTCTCCTGCAAACTTATTTCCCTGGTCAACGGCCGGTTCTAGTGATTTTAAAACTGGTGTTTTTTACCCTTTTTTTTTTATTTTTTTAACAACATTTCTCTTTTGTCCTCAATTAAAACCTCTGTTCACACCCCCCTTCATCAACCCAGAATAAAAAAAAAAAAGAAAAAAAAAGAAAAAAGAAAAAGGGATTTGCTTAGTTCTTGTACCCCCGTTTATCAGTTCTGTTCGTTCCTGGGCTTAACCACTCGATGGATGGCGTCGCTTCGTCGTTGCCTTTTTTTTTTCATCACATCCGGTTTTCTATTGCTGGGTCTATAAAATTGAAGAGTGCCCGACGTGTAGTTCCTCCAACACCCCTTTTGCCTTTGTTGTGTCCTGTTATTTTGAAGTTACCATTTCCCCTCCCCAAGTCATTCCTTCTAGCGAGCTGCTTTGCTTGATCTGTTAACTGTCCCTCATGGCACCCTTTGCGTTCTCTTAGCTATTACATTTCTGCAAAATTGCAATCTCTACCCCTTATACTTGTCTATATCAAATTAATTGATGATGGTTCGTTGAGTCTTTGAAAAGGGGGGGAAAACACAATTAGAGCAGTCTTTACAGTTAAGATCCAAACTTCTCCGGGGAAATGAAAAAGTTAGACTCTCTAACTTCTGTTCAAAACGGGGGGTTGGAATTATGAATTATGTTTCATATGGGTATGCTTCCATGCTCATGAAAAATTTTCACATTTGGCTCGAACCTTTTCTTCCTCCCCGAGATATCATGGGATACGACAAGCTCCATCCAATTGCAAGCGCACATGGTCCCCATTTTTGTCGTTTTCCCATCCATCCCAGGTGCAGAATTTTTGTATTTTCCTTCACGTATCATGATTCGTATGCTGCAGGTCGCTGCATTGGGTTTCCCCCCCAACACCCCCCCCCCCCCCCCAAAAAAAAAAAAAAAAAAAAAAAAAAGAAAGAAAGAAAGGAAAGAAAT